GTATTTTCTATTTTTTTTACAGTTTCTGACATCCACAACAAAATTGCAAAAAAAAAAGTTGCAGGCACCGCAATACAATATTTTTTTCTTATTTTTTTTCATTTTTTTAAATTTTTCAAATTGACCTTTTCTTAAGGACATAGTTAATATTATTGAATAGGAATTATATTTGATAACATATATAGAATTTATCAGTAAGAAATATAATATTTAACAAGAATTATTCAATAGGCAATATAATACTATATATAGAATAATTAACAAACAAATTATTCTATTTAATATTTAATAAGAATTATATTTTGCAACATATTTAGTTAAAGATTATTAATACCGTAAGTATAAGAAATAAAGAATTTTATTTTTTAGATTTGGTGTTGGCCAATGCTTTTGAATTACGCCTTAATAGCCTATTACAATGGGTATAGGTAGTAGCAAGACCTTAAGTCTTAAAGAACTATTATATTTGATATTCGCATTAGAAAGACCAAGACCCTATATTAATTTTTCTCTCTTTTTTATTTATAGAACTTAAATTTTCTATCACTTTTATTTATTCAAATAGAGTTATTTTTAATCATTTTTGTTTTAATTTGTGCCAAATGGATATGTCTTAATGAAATATTTTCAAAAATAATATATCAAATTATAATTATTTGATACAATAGTCAATTTTAGAGATAAATTCCTTTACTTTTAAAAATTTTTAGTCTCTCTATAATCTTATTTTATCGCAAATAATATTTGACTTATTTATTTATTTCATGGTTTTAAAAAAATATAATTATGTAATAAAATTATTCAATTATGAGGATAAATTCAATAGTATCTAAAACCATATTTTATTTGAAATATTTTTTAATGATAAATATGTTTCAGTGATTAATATTAAATATGTTTCAGTGATTAATATTTAATATGTTTTAATGATTACTAGTTATATATTAAATGAGAGGACCCTGCTTATTTTTGCGCCATGTCATTCTCTCATTAAAAACTATTACTTTTTTACTAGATTATCTCTCTCTTATTTATATGATCTACGGTTTCCCTCTTTACCTTTTCTATTACTCTCCCTCTTTTCTAAAAATCACTCTCCCATTAATTTTTCTAAAATTTCTCATTTTTCCGTTATTTATATCATCTACCGTTTCTCTCCATCTTTCATAAAATCTCTCTCCTATTTATTTATATTTCTTTTTCCTCACAACGGTTTCTCTTATATCATCTACGTTTTCTATCTCTCTCCTCTTTCTTAAAATCTGTGTACCTTCTATTTATCATAACTTTCCCTTCCCATGTATTCTCTCTTATTTATATCATCAACGTTCTTCCATATGTCTCCTCTTTCCTGAAATCTACCTCCCTACCCATGGATTCTCTCTCTCATTCATTTATAGTATCTCTCTCTCTCCTCCTCTTTCCTAAAATCTCTTTTCTATTTATCATAACTCTTTTCTTGCCCACGGACTCTCTCTATCTCTTTCGTATTTATAGCATTCGTATTTATAGCATTATATCTATTATGGAAACTCTTTTCTATCTCTCCTCTCTCGACAAACTCTCTTCTCTCCAAAACGTTTCTACATTATCTCTCAATCACAAATTTTTATTCTCTCTCATCACATATAAAGCAGCAGTCATATTGCACTCAACGGTTTTTTTATTAAATATACATGTCTCTTTCTCTCCTCTCATTTATTCTATCCTCAAAAAATTTATGGTTTATGATTTTTTTAATGATTAATGGTGTTCAATTTAGTATAAATATTTATTTGTGTATCTATGATTTCTGCATTTCTATATTTCTATGTGGAATTGATTTTTATTTTTGTTTGTTTTTGTAGATTGTTAAGTGATCTATAGAAGCCCTAACATAATTTGTTGATTGAGGTTTTGTGATCAAGTTGTTCGAGATGTTCTCAACGGATATATTGTGGAAACAAAATTTTAGGTTTTCAAGAGAAATAATCTTTCATCTCTGCATTTCTATGCATTTCTTCATTGCTTTTGCCTACTTTTCGATCCTTTCCATCATGTTCTCCTTAGTTTCATTGTGGAGTTGAGGTTTTTTTTTTGTTTAATATTATTTGGAAATGAGTTATTTTTATTTGTTGTTGTAGATCTTTCAGTATCTACAAGGTAAATAACTTTCTGTTTTCTCTTCATTTCTATGCATTTCTTCATTGTTTTTGCCTACATTTTGGTCCTTTCCATCTTGTCCTTCTAAGTTTCTATGTGGAATTAATTTTTTTTTAGAATATTATGTAAAATTGAGTTATTTTTGTTTGTTTTTGTAGATCGTTGAGTGATCTCCAGAAGTCCTAATATGATTTGTTGATTGAGGCTTTGTAGATCAAGTTGTTCGAGATGATTTGTGTAATTTTGCAATATTGCTGAATTTTTTAACTATTCTCAATCAGTTCTTTTGATGTGTTTCATTTTGTAGATAAATCTAAAGATCTAATGAAACATTAACTGTATTTCTTGATTAATTAGATATACTTTTTGTGATAAATCTAAAGATTTATCTACAAAATGAGACACATCGAAAGAACTGATTGGGAATAGTTAAAAAATTCAATAATAGTGCAAAAATTACACAAATCATCTCGAACAACTTGATCTACAGAGCCTCAATCAATAAATCATATGAAAACTTCTGGAGATTACTCAAAGATCTACAAAAACAAACACAAATAACTCAATTTCACATAATATTCTTAAAAAAATTAATTCCACATAGAAACTTAGGAGAACATGATGGAAATGACCGAAATGTAGGCAAAACAATAAAGAAGTTCATAGAGGCAAACACAATCAAGAAATGCATAGAAATACAGAGAAAACAAAAACCGTGTAGATCACTGAAAGATCTACAACAAAAAACAAAAATAACTCAATTCCAAAAATATTCTGTTTTCACAGTATATCCGTTGAGATCATCTCGAACAACTTGATCACAAAACTTCAATCAACAAATTATGTTAGGGCTTCTATAGATCACTTAAAGATCTACAAAACCAAACGAAAATAAAAATCAATTCCACATAGAAATATAGAAATCATAGATATAGAATTAAATATATATACTAAATTGAACACCA